CGAGGGGTAGGAGGAGGGGGAGAATGGAGTTTGGGATGGCTGAGGGTCATTTTGTGAAAGGGTTTGGGTGGAGGAGGGGGAGAATGGAGGCATGGTGGGTATTATGGTAATGGGGAATTGGGGATGATGGTGACAACGAGAGGGGACAAGGGGATGGAGGCCTGGCTATGTAGTCACGGGTATGGGCATTTTAAAACGGGTATGGGCTTTTTAAAGGGGAGTGAATGGAACTGCACGGGACTAGTAGTCCCGTGCAGTTCGCAAAAATTTGCATAACCGACCTTTTTCATTCTGAGAAGGTCGGTTTTGCTAATTATTTGTTAACAAGGTCGATTTTGCAGAATAAATTTTAAAAAGAGGTGTTTTTAAAAATTTGTCCAATTAGAAAACATATTTTTATTTTATACTTACATGCATATATATGATTTCATCAATATCAATTTTATTTAGTTCAATGAAATCATACTTACTTTTAAAATATTTGCAAAATATGCAAGTTTGTGAAAATATTGTTTTATTAGTTTATGGACTTAATAACAATCATATACATCTTTTATTAAGTCTATATAATTATTTTGTAATGTTTCAAAACATGGTTAAGCTAAAATGCCAAAACTCACATGTTTACATTTTCATGTTTTGGACTATTTTGTAAAATAATTATATTTTTTATTTAGGAGGTCCTTTTTAAAAACTAATTTTTGTAGCATGTGTATTATCATGTCTACAATTATTTTCCAAAGTTTTACATTTTTCTGAATTAGTTTGATCTTTTTAAACAGGGTTTTAAAATCAGAAAACTATTTCAAACCTGTCATATTGCATATATCTGTTTACGGTCGACCGCCACGGTCGACTGCCCTTGAGTCCAGAGACTCATATTGGTTTTTGATGGCTCGCGGTCCACCGTGGTAGTCGATCGGATACAGTCCAGAGAGTTTCGCGGTCTACCGTCACGGTCGACCGTCTGCTGTCTTGTGCTAAAACCCTATTTCTGAGCTGCTCGAGGTCGACCGCGAATTTCCCACGGTTGACCGCCGATTTGATCGTTGGACTTCAACAGCTATTTCCAGCTGTGTTTTTCTAGGGGCTTTGTTGTCATTTTAGTGGGGTTTTTGCTGAAGTTTTGAGTGGGTAGAAATACCCCATTGCCTTAAGCTCTCCATAAAATAAGAGTGTTTTAAACAAGTTTTAACAAGGGTTTATGTTTGGTTTAAGTTTTGATTAAAAAGCTTTTAAGCAATTGAGTGTTTGTTTTGTGAAAACAAGTTTACAAGAGCTTGAGGAAATCATATATTGGTGTTTGAGCATCCAACTCTCCTACCTCTACCTCTTGATCTATTGAGAAGTTTTCTAAACTCTATTTCTAGCTTTATATCTATTTGTTTGATTATCATTTTATTAAAACTAGTTTCATATTGAGTTTAGATTTGATTTCACTCATTATTTACACACACCCACTTGAGCTTATTGTATTTACATTCTTTGATTTCACTCATTATTTACACACACCCACTTGAGCTTATTGTATTTACATTCATAGTATAATTGGGGTTGTGAGAGTTTGTAACATTGAGTTGTGCTTAATTGAGTTCTCATCCATTGTAGAGAACAACTATTGTTGTATTCATGCGTAATTTGTGAGATCACTTTGTAATACACTTGTACATCGAGAGAAGTGTGTGGTGTGAGTCGGGGATCATTCCAAGAGGAGTGGGATAGGTAACATACCTAAAGAGAGGTTGTAATTCCTAACACTTGAGGGAGACACGTCTGTGACCAACACTTGAGAGGGTGTAAAGTGAGATTGTAAGAGTGGTGATTGTAAAGTTTTCAGTTAGCTAGAAAACCGAGTGTGAGGTGTAAACGTTGTTCAGGTAAGCGTAGAAAACCCAGTTGTGATAGTGAATTTCTCCCTGGGAGTGGGGAGCGGAGACGTAGGACGGAAGGTCCGAACTCCGTGATCATATTGTGTGTTCGCATTGTTTATATTGCCCTATCACAATTGAATCTTTAGTTTAGATTATTACCCTTTCGTTGTTTATATATCCTTGCATATATTTCACCATATATCTCATTGCTAGGATATATCCATTTGTTCATATTGCTTATTCTTGCTTGTAACATATTGTATATCTATCTTGCAAGAATAATTTATTAATAAGTTTTAATTGGCATAAAATCAGATTAGATTAGCATAAGACCCTAATCACCCCCCTCTAGGGTCTAACAGCTATTTGTCGTACGAATATCTGTGTATTTGATTAACAAGATTGACCCGGAGCTGCATATTTAGGTGACTAATGAGATGACTAAAGTTGCGCTGACGGCAAACTCGATGGACGATCTCATGGGGTATGTTATACAATATTTAGGTGGTGCGATTCCTTATAGCGCGTATGGTGGTATCATCGGATCATAAGCTCGATTGGTGATAATTCCGACACTAGACAGAGCAACGCTCAGGTACCTTATTTTTTCTTATATTTATAAATTCATTTTTATTTAATATGTTATCAAACATCACATAATGATTATTCAATTAAATATTCAGAGTGGAGATATTGGAGGGAGCAGCACCCGTTCTCGTAACCGGGATAGAGATATTGCCGACGATGATGATAAATAAGGTTTTTTTATTTTTAATGTAATAAATAGTTTTATTTATTATAACACTATATTTATTCATGTCGTGTATCCTATCTTCTTCATGTACATTGTTAGTATATATGCTGTTGGATGTATATATTAGACGGAATTGGTTGATGTATATTTTGGATTGGATGGTTGGATTTGTGCATTGTGTTGGATTTGATTATATATTGTTTTGAATGGAATTGTTATGAATTTTGATTATATTTGAATGGTTAGATGTATTCATGTACACAATATTTATTGGATGTATTCATGTATTAATGTAATTGTACAGGGAAACACAAATTGTAAATAGCTTTTTTTGCTAAAAAAATATCAACCTAGACGGTATTCCGTCTAGGATGAATCAACCTAGACGGAATTCCGTCTAGGTTGTGATAATCAACCTAGACAGAAATCCGTCTAGGTTGGCAACCTAGACGGATTTCCTACTTTCGTCTAGGTTGATTTCCATCTAGGTTGATCAATCTAGACGGAATTCTGTCTAGTTTGACCCAACCTAGACGGAATCAGACTAGACGGAGCAAACCAGACGGAATTCTATCTAGTTGTACCAACCTAGACGGGAAATGGAGCAACCTAGACAGAAATTTTTATCTAGGTTGCTCGTTTTTCTACTAGTGTATGAAAGTCTAAAATTAGCTTGCGAGTGTCAAATTTAGATGAAATTCTTATGTCTTCATAGCATAAAGTATTAAAGTTCAAGTTTTAGAAACTTTAGGGCATATAAGTGTTGCCAAAAACAAGTAAAGATATGTAAGTGCAAAGTATGGAAAATTATAAGGTAGGTAAGTGCTAGTTAGTCTTTTAAATGACATGTTTAGTTCACATTCAGAATGATCAATACCATTGGCAAAGATGTAAAGTGTCTTGGATAAAATTAAGTTTGAAAAAGGTGAAACTTTCGACCTTAGGGTACCCAATGAGCAAAACTAAATTTGGACGGACCAAAGCGTAATTGATGGCTTTTAAAAGAAGGAAATAAAACAAAAAAATTAAAAAGGAAGAGGTTGGGGTACTGTCCACGACCACCCGCCAACCAAATCCAACAAGCCTTGGCGGCCGCGGAATTACCTCGACGACCCAATGTGGAAACCGTACCACGCACACGCCCCACAACTACCGTGTGCAACAGTAGGCGTAGGATAACGGCACCTAGAGCTTCTAATCTCCTTTCCTCCTCGCTATTGACGACTCGGTTTCCTTTTTTCCCATGTGGGACTAAACTCAAAAGCATTGATGATAGGAATTTATTGTTTTTTCCACCCCCCAATTTAACAGAGGTGAGCTTCTCTCTCAACGCATCAACGACTAATTGGAGCCTGTTGATTTTTATCTCTACATCAAAATTGAAGCTCTTCTCTAAAATACGTAGCTCTCTTTCCCCAATATATGATTCAGGAAATTGGAATTTTATAATTATCTCATTAAATAAATTTGATTTATAAAGGCTCTATATGTAGATGTACAACCTAGCCCTATATAGTAAATACAATAAGGAAATGACTAATTACAAGGAATGTGTATCAATCACGATCAAATCTAATATTTATCTCAATACTCCCCTGCAAGCTAAGGGCGGGAAACGACTTGAAGCTTGAAGCGCAAACAATCGAAATGCTGAGAAGGAGGCACCTTAGTGACTACAAGCTAAGGGCGGGAAACGACCTGAAGCTTGGAGCGTAAACAATCGAAACGTTGAGAAGAAAGCGCCTTAGTGAGAATATCGGCCAACTGGTCATGAGTGGAGATAAACTGAACCTGTAAATCATGACGGGCTACCTTCTCTTGAACAAATTGAAAATTAATTTCCACATGTTTAGTGCGAGCATGAAACACCGGGTTGGCCGATAGATAAGTGTCCACAAGGTTATCACGCCAGAGAGTCGGAATGGAGCGGAGAGAGATACCAAGTTTCCGAAAGAGGGATTGTATCCATGTGAGCTCGGCAGCAGTGTCGGCAAGAGCTTTATATTCAAACTCAGTGGAGGACTGGGAGACAGTGCGCTGTTTGCGGGAGGTCGAAGAGATGAGATTGTTGCCAAGAAACATGGAAAAACCACAGGTGGAGTGACGATCATCTAGACATCTCGCGCAATCAGAGTCATAATAGGCCTCAAGCAAAAATGGAGAGTCCCGACGGATGAATAGCCCATGGGAGGAGGTGCTACGAAGGTAGTGGAGGATCTGTTTGACGACCATCCAGTGATCATCAGTAGGCTGGTGCATGAATTGGCATACCTTGTTGACAGCAAAGGCAAGATCAGGACGAGTGAGCATGACATACTGAAGGGCATCAACAACCTGATGATACTTGGTAGGATTTGAGAAGAGTGAGCCAGATCCCTTAGAGAGCACCATGGAAGGAGACAGAGGAGTGGACACTAGTTTAGCATCAAAAAGATCTGCTCGTCGAAGAATATCAAGGATGTACTACTGTTGGGGATAGAAGGAGATCGGAGACATGGGGAATGACCTCAATACCAAGAAAGTAATGAGGAGAACACAAGTCCTTGGGCGAGAACTCCGTAGAGAGAGTGGACATGACACGAGCAATATGGTTCAAGCTGTTACCACTGACAATAGTATCATCAACATAAACTAAAATAAATAGCTTAGTTGGACCATGGGCATATATGAAGAGAGAGGAGATGGTCTTCAAGCCAACTGATAATCACATTTTTATTATAGTTTTATACACTCATTATCTATTTTACATGAATAAATATATTACTAATATTTGTTTTTATCTTAATTTGTAGGTTAATAAAGAAATAATAAATAAAAGACCAAAAGACTCTAACTTTCTTATTTTGTAACCTTTTATTGGAGCCTAGGATCAAGCCAAGAAGCTTATAGAAGCCAGAGAAAATAAAAATCCAATATGAAAAAAATCATATTTAAGATGGTTGGTCGTTAAGAAACAACGATATCAACCAATCCGGAAGGTAAAATTTAACATATAATATATAAAAATTACCTATATCGACGGGATGAAGCCATCTGTCAAGTTAGATTTTTGATACAAGTATCGATACTGGTATCGATACCTACATTGATAGGGGTATCAGTACCATTATCGATACCAAATGTGCAGTTACAATTTAAAGGCTAAAATTGATGAACTTGGGGATTAAGTTTAATCTAAGGGCTCTCATTCACTGTTGATGGCTATAAATATGAGCAGAGAGTGAGGGGTTAGGGTGTGAAATATTTTGTAAAAACTCCTTTTGGAAAGGAGGGTTTGTTTGTGGAAAATTTGCAGTAAAAGAAACGAAAGAAAATTGATTTGTATTCCTTTAATCTCGATTACAATTGAATTTCCTGATTACAAAAGAGAAGAGAATGAATTTGATTCTCCCCTTTGTTTAATTCTGGGTTCTTCACGGTAGCGATGAGATGCCTCCCTCGAATGCTCGCGTCGAGTTTGCTTCTCGTTGACGATCTGACGTCTTGATTCACTGGAACATGGTCTTCTCCTAATGCTCGCGTCGAGTTTGCTTCTCGTTGACGATCTGACGTCTTGATTCACTGGAACATGGTCTTCTCCTCACGATTTAACGTTGTGGAGAACTCTGAATGAGTTTGAAACACTATGAAAGAGTTAATTTAACCGAAATCGGTCTATAAGCCAAGGATGAAGAAAGCTCCTGTTGCCGAATATTGCTGAGGGATGACGTCAATCTCCTCAAAAGCCTACCCAAGGATCTCTCCTGTTGTTGCCAAGAAGTTCCAACAGACCGAACCCCGAACTGAATTAATTTTTAGTTTTTATAGGGGATTAAGGGGTGTAACCACCTCCTTAATTCGCTCCTAAGTGGGGCTAATGGGATGTAACCGCCCCTTAAATCACTCCTGAGTGGAGTTGTGATCCCCTCAAATCGTGGGAAACGGTTTTGAAACTGTTCAGCTCGTGTTTGAACGAGTCAAACGCAAAATCCGCGTTCTGGTGTGAATTCTATGTTCAAACGCAATGTCTGGAAGCTTGAACGCAGTGTCTGAAAGCTTGGACGCAGCGGCTGGAAGCTGCGTTGGCATCTTGTTGGAAGCTGCGTTTGGCGGCTTGGAAGCTGCGTTTGCGGCCGAACATGAACTGCGTTGGCGGCCGAATCTGAGCTGCGTTTATAGCTTTTGGAGCTGCGTTTGCGACCGAATCTGAGCTGCGTTTGCAGCTTTTGGAGCTGCGTTTGCGGCTGAACATGAGCTGCGTTGGCGGCCGAATCTGAACTGCGTTTGCAGCTTTTGGAGCTGCGTTTGAGCTGCGTTCGTGGCTATGAACACGGCGCATCTTGATGCTGGTACGCGTGGAGGACTTCCACGTCTTGATTTGAAGAGACCGTCGATTTATAGTCTCTTTCTGTCGAAGTGTTGCAAAGATCGTCATTTTGTAATCTTTACTTTAGCTCTCTGATATGTGAGAGTCGTCAGATTGTAACTTTCGATGTTAATTATGAAGGCTGTTGATCAGAGCTTTCATCAATTGTTGTGAAGGTCGTCAGATTGTAACCTTCATCGATCCACGTGAAAGTCTTCAAATTATAGCCTTCTGGAAGTCGTCAGATTGTAACTTCCATCATCGGTGTTTGATGGGGATCAGCTATCTATTGTGATTTTTAGACAGCCTACAGAACCCCCTCCAAAGTTTTCGAAAGTTCGCGGTAGACTGGGACGAATTTTCGGAATACTTTGGATCTCAACTCTGATCTTGGAGCTGTTGATTCCTTGTGGTAAAGGATTTGTTCTCTGCACTTGATTCAAAGGCATCTTGGTTGAAGGGATTTGCCATGCAGGACCTGTGTGAAGGTATGCGCCATAATCCTGCTTCTGGAATGTGGGGGTAGACCCTGCATTTTGAACTTGGAACACGGGTGTGACCTCGGCGTTCGGTTTTTGCATCGTGGGTCTGACCTCAACGTTTTGACTTAAGACACGGAAGTGGCTTCCGTGCATTTTTAACTAAGTCTTTGAGACTTGTCTTTGGTTCATCTGTTTTAAGTCTCGGCTCACATCCATTAAGCTGATGGGCCTAAAAACGTGCATAGGATTTTTGGCAAACCCTCAGCCATCAACGGATTTGATAAGCCTTTACCGACTACCGTTTGAGTCGGGCTGGCATGTGGATTGTTTAAGTCCGTTCCACATATAATGTTGTGCTAAGAGAATGAACCCTCCTAGACTTGATGCTATGATTTTGAATACATAGACTTTGTCATTTTCACGGGAAAAGACTAACCGGCAACGCGTGTTAGGCGTAGGTTTATCTTTAATTAGGGATCGAGATAAAGTCCCCCATGCGTGTGAGGCATGGATTTTGATGTCCTTTTCTCGGTAAAAGACTAACCGGCAACGCGTGTTAGGCGTAGGCTTATCTCTAATTAGGGATCGAGATAAAGTCCCCCATGCATAAAAGGCATGGATTCGTAGACTTTGCCACTGTTTCTTCCTGTGTTATATTTTCACTTGAAACACTGAAAGAAAATTAGAAGTGCCAGAGGTGTAGTATTAACTTGGCGTGAATTTTCACTTAGAGTGAAATTCAGAAACTTTCTTTATTATCACTGGGATAATTTTAGAAAATCTCTAATCCACTGGGGATTTTATAATGAAAACTTACTATTCTTGTTGAAAAAGGATTAACAAGTTCATTAGGGGGGTTTGACTGTTATAGGTGTGATGTTAACCTAACAGTATTTTATGGACCTATCGCTCTATTGAAGAGAGTCGATAAGTTGATTCGATAAGTTGATTGTGTCGTCAGAGGTGTGATATTAACTTGACGGGTTTGTGGACCTATCGCTCCATTGAAGAGAGTCGATAAGTTGATTTTGTCAGAGGTGTAGGATTAACGTGACAAGAATTTGTTGCGATCGGTGCAACTTTGTGGACTTATCATCCTATTGAAGAGGATTGATAAGTGGATTGTCAGAGGTTTGGTGTTAACATGACGGGAATTTGTTGCGATCGGAGCAACTTTAAGGGTTTATCATCATATTGAAGAGGATTGATAAGTGAATTTTGTCAGAGGTGTGATATTAACGTGACAGGAAGATGTTGTGATCAGAGCAACTTCGAGGACCTATCGCTCTATTGGAGAGAGTCGATAAGTGGATTGGTTGTCAGAGGTGTTTGATATTAACGTGACAAGATTGTGTTGCGATTGGAGCAACTTTGTGAACTTATCATCCTATTGATGAGGATTGATAAGTGGGTTTTTGTCAGAGGTGTGATGTTAACGTGACAAGATTGTGTTGCGGTCGGAGCAACTTTGTGGACTTATCATCCTATTGACGAGGATTGATAAGTGAGTTTTGTCAGAGGTTTAGTGTTAACATGACAGGATTGTGTTGCGATTGGAGCAACTTTGTGGACTTATCCTCCTATTGACGAGGATTGATAAGTGAGTTTTGTCAGAGGTTTAGTGTTAACGTGACAGGATTTGTGTTGCGATTGGAGCAACTTTGTGGACTTATCATCCTATTGAAAAGGATTAATAAGTGGATTGTCAGAGGTTTGGTGTTAACATGATAGAAATTTGTTGCGATCGGAGCAACTTTGAAGACTTATCATCCTATTGAAGAGGATTGATAAGTTGATTTTGTCAGAGGTGTTTGATATTAACGTGACAAGTGGATGTTGCGATCGGAGCAACTTTGTGGACTTATCATCCTATTGATGAGGATTGATAAGTGGGTTTTGTCAGAGGTTTAATGTTAACGTGACAGGATTTGTGTAATTGTGATTTGAACAAGATTTTGGGGACTAGCGTCTCGCTGGGGAGAATTGCTAAATGAGTTTATCATCAGAAGCGATGAATTTTGATACTAAGATTTTGAAGACTTAGTATCTTGCTGGGGAAGATTGCGATTTGAGCAATTTTGAGGACCTATCATCTTATTGAAGAGGAGTGATAGGTTGATTGTCAGAGGTGTATTGTTAACGTGACAAGTTAGGAGTGATGCAAGCTGCATTCATACTCCGTGGGGGTGATGATCGTCAGAAGTGTAATGTTAACTTGACGATGTGAAGGATTCGTTACTCTTAATCCAATGGATTCCAAGTAACCAGCCCCCAGTCTTGATTAAGACTTAGCAGGGGAATAAAAAGAGGTAGACAAGGCACATCACCTAGTGGGGCACTATCCATGAAGTCGGAATAGAGGCACATCACCTGGTAGGCCATTATCTGATGAGTTTGACTATCAGAGGTAACTGTTAACGTGATAGTTTTGTGGACCCGCCATCCTACTTGAAGAGGATTGATGGGGGAATTTGGAGGAAAATGACTATCAGAGGTGACGATTAACGTGATAGTTTTGGTGGACCCGCCATCCTACTTGAAGAGGATTAGTGAGTGAATTTGGA